GAATTATTGACATATTACGACATACGTCTTGTAACGTGTCCATAATATCAATCGTGTTCCTTAGGTCTTATTTGGTTACTTTTGAATTTGTCTTTGTACTATTCAATATAGTATTTGTAAAATATTGTTGGAGTTTCTTTAATGTATAAAAAACAATTTCTTGCATTGTTTCGAGCTTTGACAAATCTTGTGACTGAATTTCAAAATTTGATAAACCGCATTTGTTCCGAAGATCATTTGTAAAATTTTTATTGAGTTCCAGAAAATTAATTTTGTTTTCAGAATTGATATGTAGTTCATTGTTTCTGTTAATTACTTTAGTAACCTTGAATTTGAATTCCTGAGTCCTCGAATTAAGTGTCATATAATGCTGATTTATATTACCGAGATTGTTTGTTATATATGATGTAAAATCGATATTTCCAATGATCTTGTAAACATTTGTAATAAAATTCTGACTGTCCATCTTATAGTTTTGTTGCATTATAAACAGGTTTATATCTTTTTTTGTTTTTTCATATGTCATTGATAATATATATTGCAAATCATGTTCAATTGTCTCATCAAAACGTTCACTTTCTATATGATTCGGTAACGCATTGATATATGTCTTCAGATATGTTGGCAATGAATAACATAGAACTATATGAATTTTGTTCAACATAGTTGTAATTGAATTATGAATTACATTAATATTGATGAAATCCAAACATCTCGGGAGATATGTACAGATCGTTATAAAATAGTCCGCGTGAATGAGTCTGGTGCCATCTCTTTCATTAAACACGAAGGCCATTTGCTGTAATATTAGAAGTAAATCGATTTCAAAAGAGATAAACTCATTAGAGACTTTTTGGAAATTATCGTCATTAGATTGATTAATAATTTCTGCCGCTTCTACAAGATCATATTTCTTTTGAAATTCTTCTACGATATTTTTAAACTTACTGCTATCGGAATTTAGACCCAACATTGTTAAAATATCACTTTGAATGCCCGGAATAAAAACATGCACTATAAACGTATAAAACAACACTTTAAAAGCATTTAATTTCATTGTTCGCTGGTGATGTAGTATCAGAAAAAATGTAAATCTACTCTGAATAAAATTGTTGTAACTCTAATTTACCATACGTGTTCCTGTTTCAGTTGGTTTGTTACTAGTGGTATCGAACAACATTTTTGAATACTCTAATAATATACAATATTAATTAAAAGCGGTAATGATTTTTACAGTTAAAATATGTAGGTACTTATTCTGAAAGATATTTTTTCAACTTGTAAATACTTGTTATAGATGCAGTTAGTATGATACTGGCATAATAGTGCTTGTAATTTAAACTATTTTATAATGATTAATGAGCACAAATGTCATGGTGTTTAGAGCAATAAAAGATTATATATTTTCTACATTCCCGATATTCCTTACGTCATTACACAGTATTTTTTAATAATATG